AAAGAGCAAGCAAGTTTCAGAAGTAGATTTAGTACAATGGATCACATGCAAGTGGTACACCAAGCGATTCTAAGAGGCAAACAATATCATCTCCCACCCTGCCTAAGATTCGCTGATTTTAAGAACGCTTTAAATTTAGTCTATATCTGATCAGTGTTAGATACTTTGAGGAGTCAGAGAATCGGTCAAACAAAAATCTCATGGTGATGATATATAAGAATTAAATGGTTATAACACTATTCATTAAAACACGAACAAATTTAAAGTCGCAAAAGGCGTCCGATAGGATAATGCAATATCGCCGAAGTTATTCACTATAGCCTTAGAAGTTTTGAAAACAGAATTAGGATTGAGAAAATCAGGGACTCAAGATAAATGGACACTACCTATGCAAATGCTGCTTGCTGACAATATTTTAATCCTCAGAATGTCAACAGAAGAACCCAAGAACTGAACGACGGCATCATCAAGGCAGGGTTAAATATAAACCCAAAGAAAACGGAAGTCATGTTCAAAAAAGTGACCTCGGCCTGTTGATATCACTAGAATAAGGCAAGAAGAGGTACAAAAACATGTTTGTACGGGACAGCTGATCAGTGCAACAAAATAAACTGTCTGCGTGTTCCTAGGGTTAACGCATCGATTCGAAACACGGACCTCTGTTTGAAATCTGCTCAGAAACTACGAAACGCAACAAGAGGAAGTTTATGTTCAGAATAACATTAAACAAAAGGACAAACGAATGGACAAGAGCCGAAACGCAAGTCTATGATATCATTGAAATGGTGAGAAAGTTCAAATGGCACATGTCAAAAAGAATGGATAAACGCATATTAGACAGAACGATATCAGGCAATAAACCAGCGGTAGGAACACCTCCAAATCGAGGCAAATAAGTTTAAAAAATCTGTTGGAATAACGTAAACAATAATCGCAGAAGACATTTGAGAAGAGCTTTGACAAAATCTCGAAGATGTCGATCCGTAGTAGCTCAAAAAAAGACTGATGACGGCGAGGGTTTAGCGACGAGCGACGTCCGTCCGAACGGTTGCAAAGTTTCGTCTTACGCCGTCGCACACGAGTTTCGTCATCAACTCGGCTTGTCTCGACGCGACGACCGAAACGTGACAGCGACAGATGACAGATGATGAATAGACGCTGCCGCTCGGTCAAGCTCAAGCCAGGTGTTGAGTGGTGTTGTAGCGCAAAAGATTCATTCGTTGTGACTCGCGAGACTCGACGCAAAGCCTGAAGTGGAGTGAGGAGTAGATGAAGACCGTTCGGTGAGTTGACCGACCACGCAAGTGTTTCATCGTCACTCAACGCGACGAGACGCGACGCCGTACCCATTCGGACGATGGGACGGGCCACGCCTGAATTGGGTTTTGCGATCGTCGTCGCTTGTAAAGTGTTTCCGGAGGCGTCACACCATGCAAGAAACTGCATTTCACTTCAACTACCTGCATGGTGCCATGTCCAGCGAGTGACACCCTCTGTTTCGAGTCGCCGCTGCCGGCCACCCTGGCGCTTTTTCTCAGGAAAATTACGTATGCGAGGCAAGTGACGAATCGTATTTTTTTTAAAAAAGCTCGGTGCCCCACTTCCACTTCTTGTCGTGTAGTGCATAACTGCTTCGAGCGGAATGGACGTCAGTCAGTGGACATTCGTAGAAAACGAAAACCACTAACTTGTCGCATCGGATCTAGACGGACTAGACCGTCAAACGGTCTGTCATGGATATCGTCGCAAAATCTGCACCTGCACGTGGCTCATCGTACGGAAAGGCCTAATGTTTTGGTCTGGACAGTTCTAATATAATCACAATTCTAGCGTCCCGTTTCAGGTTGCTAGCGAGGAACACGAAATGTCACCGTA